CTGATCTGCTCCCCAGGGACGCTGTCCATGCTGCAGTGTAACATCTTCCCGGGGCTGCCACCCGACTTCCTGGACACCGAGGTCAACCTCTTCCTGGTGCCCTTCATGGACAGTGAAGCCGAGAGCGAGAACCCCCCGCGAGCAGGTACGGGGACCCTGGGACATCGGACCACAGCAGACGCCTGCCCGTGGCTGGGAGAAGGCCGGCCTGGGCCTTCCTCGGGGCCAAGTTCAGGCGCGCCTCTGAGCCACCGCACCGCTGCAGGGCCCGGCTCCAGCCCCCTCTTCTCCCTGCTGCCCGGGTACCGCGGCCACCCCAGCTTCCAGTCCTTGGTGAGCAAGCTCCGCAGCCAGGTGATGTCCATGGCACGGCCGCAGCTGTCGCACACCATCCTCACCGAGAAGAACTGGTAAGGTGTTCAGAGAGAGGAACTCCCTTGGCGCAGCTGGCAGGGCGCTGTGTTGGGGGCGGCTCCATCAACCCTGGCTCTCCAGGCCAGGGAACCACTGTGTGATAGCCTTGGTACAGTTCTGGGTTTTTTTCTGGAAGAAATTTAGGGCATGGTAGTTCATGCCTGTAGTCCCGGCCACAAGAGCCTTAGCGGGAGGGTCACTGCGCATTCCAGACCAGCCTGGTGTGCACAGTGAGACCCTGCCTAGAAACAGATTAGACTCAAAGCACATGTCGCTTAGCTGAGTCACATCCTGACTGCTGCTGCTTCCAGCTGGAAGGTCGGTGAGCCTGGCGGAGCTGGGAGATGTGTTTAAGGCCGAGCGCCCCAGGAGTCCCGCTAGTGCCTGCCCTCCTCCCTGCCTCCTGGCACGCTCCCCTACGCTGCGCCCACCTGCTGCCAGGCCTGTGTGTAACCCACAGGGGAGCAGCACCCGATGGGCCTGCTGGGAGAGAGCCGGGGACCAGAGCAGGGCGGCCTGGGGCAGTCCCCACTCATGCCCTGCTGTCACTGAGGTGGTTGGGAGCACGGCTGGAGCACTCAGGGCAGAGCTTGGTCCTGCCGTTGGCTGAAGCAGGCCATACCGCAGAGCCCAGCCCTTCATCTGAGCCCTGTCCTCAGCCTCCCATGGAAATCAGGGCCACCCGTCAGGGTGGGCACCATGGCTGTGGGCTGGGGACTTCCTGGGCCTCAGCATCCGCCGACTCTGACAGCAGCCCTCTCTCCCCCAGGTTCCACTACGCAGCCCGGATCTGGGATGGGGTGAAGAAGTCCTCAGCCCTAGCCGAGTACAGCCGCCTGCTGGCCTGAGGCCCACACAGGAGAGGCGCTCCGTCCCGTGGGCCGTCTGTGGACAGCCAGGCCACACAGTCATCCCCCGGCCGGGAGCAGAGCGCAGGCCTGCAGAGGGTTTGTGGCAGCCCGCCAGATGTGAGGTGCTGGAGGCCAGTTCCCCTCTCTAATGGGGCTGTTGGGATGACCAAGAGATCAGCCTGCCATGAGCAGCCCTTCCCAGGTCTCCACAGAGACAGGCAGCAGGAGACAGGGTGGCCCCAGGAAGCCTTCCCTGGGGAGCAGGGCTGGGTGCAGCTTCAAATAAAGGTGGTCACAGGCGCCTGTGCTGGCTTCTTCCCCTCCCGGAACCCTCTGGGACACAAGGCAGCTGGTCCGGTCTCTAGAGCCCACAAAGGACAGCTCCTGTCTTAGGCAGAAGGGTAGATTGTCAGGTGCAGCGGCTCGGCCTATATGCTCAGCGGTAGCTGAAAACAGGAGGATCAGGAGTTCAAGGCCAGCCTCGGCCTAGCCTCAGAAAACAAAGCAGACATGCCGGGGCTGTCGAAGTGTCTCTGCTTGCCCTTGGCCCTCTCGCCCTGTGGACCCACTGATTCTCCGTAGTCCTCCCTGGCCTTCAGGCCCCAGGCGCTGTGTGTGCCCTCCTTTGCTCATTTGCACATGGCAGTCTGCTTCCTAAAGCAGGTCTCCAGGTGAGCCCGGAGCCCAGCCGGTCCTTTTACCACAGCACGCCAGCCTGCCTGGCTGTACCATGCACCCTGGAGCCACAACCGTCCTGTTCTGTGCGGTGTGAGGGGTGGGGGGCCTCTTGAGAAGGTGTGGCCAAGGAGCGCAGTGAGGGCAGGCCCCGTGGGGAGTCTGCAGGTGTGCAGAGAGTGAGGTTGGGGTTGGGGAACCCAAGACTCGGGGCACGCTGTGGCACTCGCTTCCCACATGCCCCTTGGGTTCTTGCTCCGTGCAGATGATTTTTTTTTCAGCCAAGACTTTTCTGCTTTCCAAACAGTGGAGAGTGGTGTGGCGCCCTGCCCTGGCCGCAGTGTGGGCCACACGGCCACACGCCTTTGCGCAGGCCTCCGTGTTGCCGCAGTTTCCTGCGTTCTCTGCGTTGTCCTTTGATGAAGACACCATCTCTGTTGAGCTGCCCCTGCTGGGTGGCCTTTCCTCTTAGCTCTGCTCTGCCTTTCTGGCCTCTGCGAGTAACCAACACCGACGGCCTGAAGTCTGCCCTGATGACGGCCCCTCCCAGAAGAGCCTGGGGAAGCACCATGTGCTTGCTTTCGCATCTTCAGTCCGGAGAGACTGGTGTGTGACCTTCACATGGCCCTCAGGCCTGGGCCCTCTCCACCCAAGGTGGCCCAGCTCTTCCCTGCCAAAGCTGCAGCTCACGCCACACACGGGAACTCGTGCCCTGAGTCCCAGTGCTCACAGCCGGCTGGAGACT